TTTTAATTTTTTGGCAGAGTTCAACATTTTGATACGAAGCTAAACTTATATGATGTCAGCGCAAATTATTTCTAAATGGACTGTAGTTGAATACCTCCCGCTATCACATTTTTCTTAGTAAATCTAATACTGCTGTGACACCTAAAGTTTGTTTTAATATGGTAAACTATGCTGGATGAAGACAAGCCATTCTTTACGCTACTTTATATAAGCGCTCTAGATAGAGTAATAAAACGAGAGTCTCTTCTTTTCTACATTCTATTAGCTCTTGATTCGAACCTATTCCCGTTGGCTCAATTAGATCAATTTTTCTCTGACCTTGGCAAATTCTATATTTTCATTTATCTTCAAATGTTCTTTCTCTCAATTCTGTTCTCTACGAGGTATTATCGTAAGAAATACCCTCAGGGACCAAGTTTGATTATTTTTATCTATACATATTTGTAAAACCAAGGCAATCTCCATAGGATATAGTCTCGGGACTGCTCCCTGGCGAACCAAAGAAAAACATCCCGACAGAATTGGGTTATCGAAATTCACTTTTTCACCATAAACCCAGCGTCACCTCTATTCTGTTCTACAATGAACACGCATTCCAATTGTGGGGTTGGCGAATAACCGTCAGTCTCATTCGCCAAGTTTTATTGTGTGCTCTGTTTAATAGGCATTTTGTCGTTGGTTGAGTGCACTTTGAGTAACGAAATGTTGAAATGATGATGATTATAGCTGACCAATAAATAGCATCAATCTGCCTCATCACAACTCGTTGATTTTTCTAAATGAACACTTGCGCAGTGCCTGTGATAGGTACATGGATTGATTGTGCTGGTGTGGAGAAAATGACTGACAGCACGATCATGGATGAGTGCTCCCGGTATAACGTAGTCACTGGTATACTTTCTTTGCTGTAAAAGCGATATTTCACCTGAGATAAACGTAAAAGGTGCTAAACGTTTCCTGCCTACATACGAATTTTGTACTAGGGTGTCTCATAGCGGGCTAATGGGAAGGCCATTGAAGTTCTCTGACGCAATTCGGAGTTGGAAGGCTGCTTTTTCCATTCCACTGTACATTTGGAGTCATGTCAGTGTACCAGAGAAATCTTCGTTTTATATCCTCCAGGATTCCAAGTCTACGAACTACTTTGAGAAAACCACTGTATATATCGCCTGGATATCGATCTCCGTGGAGTACGCCGACCACTCGACAAGTCTTGCGACATGACTGGCATTCAACTCGACTCTATTCCGCCCAAGTTGATAATGTCGAGGCAAACACAACAATCAGACAAAGACTGAAGTCATTTATGAAGAAGTATGGCGCAGTTGGTGCTGGAGTTTACTTAGCCCTCAGCGCTGTCGATTTGAGCTTGACAATGGCGGTCATTACGTTCACTGGTGCTGAAAAAGTCAAGCAAGTCGAAGACTGGGCATTGAAGGAAGTCAAAGGCTTATTTGGCATGAAACACAAGATCACACCCAAAGCAGATTCAGCAGAAAAGCCGTCCATGGCTTCTATCTTTGTAATAGCATATGGAATTCACAAAACTATTCTTCTGCCTGTGCGACTAGGTTTGACTGCCGCCATCACTCCGTTCTTGGCCAGGAAGTTGCAACAAATGGGATTCCGGGTGCCGGGCACACGGAATATCGCAAAGACTTAAAAATATATAGACTTATAAGCTATGTAAATAAAAAAGAAATGAAAAGAGTTTGTAAAGGATGTCACGGAAGGAGAGCCAATGCCTCCTCAATTCTATTATGACCTCAGAAGAGATCAAGAGGTATCTACACTGTGGGGGGAGGGAGCTTTATGATAATGCGACGACAAAAATGGGTCAAGTTGCTTTCTTCGTCTCTACGGGGAGAAGCATTACACAACCGCCGACCAATATGAAGCCAACGACGCTGACGTACAGGGGAAGAACGGTGCTGATAGTGAGTAAAATTCCGGACACGATAGGACTGATAATACCGGCAATTCTTCCCAGAGCGGATGCTGTGCCTACTGCAGTTCCTCGTACTTCGGTGGTGAACACTTCTGGTGTATAGCCGTAAATGACTGCGTATAATAATGTTGCCAAAAACGATACAGCCGACGATGACAGCAACATAGTTATGCGTGAGCTGATGACCGAAAAGACAAATAATGCGACTGCAGATCCAAAGGCAGACAAAGCCATGGTTCCTTTCCGACCCAATCTTGTTTCAATCATCCAAGATGCAATCTATGAAACAAATGTGGGATTAGATCACAAAAAATCAATGATAACAGAAAAGGTACCGAGTTACATACCACTGAGCCAGGCACTCCAGCAATGGAATACACCATATAATCCCAGTAAACATCTGCTCTAGTAGGAGGTGCTTCTCCAGCGAAACCAAGCATCTCCAAATACTTTGGTAAGAAGACATTGAACATAGTATATGCCACGGCCGTGAAGGTCCAAATGGCCCAAACTAAAATGGTTGTGACTCGCCACTTCTCATTGAACAGCAATTGTAGCTTTTCCGGATTCATAGCGGTTTTAATTTTCTCAGCGAAGGATCGTGGAGTATCAAGCTTGGCGTCTGGGTTGGCTGGTGATAGAATTGGGCTTGTATCACTATACGAGTCGCTGGAACGGACTTTTGGACCATCTTCCAACTCGTCATCGCTATCGATTATCGCGAACATTTTCACTGGACGGCACGGGTCTGGTAAGTCAGCAGCTGTAATGGTCATTTTGTGTCCATTGGCGTCTGCAATCCGTTGCAACACTTGTGCAGCTTCACGTTTGCGATGTCGGCTGATAAGATACTTGGGGCTCTCCGGAAGGTGGAAGAGAAATGATCTACACACGACCATGAATAAGGTCACAATACCTGTGGCGAGGAGCATGTACCGCCAACCCCTATTTTGGACTGAAACGTCGCATGGTGGGTTTTGGTCATCAGCTGAGCCTTCGGGACAGCTTGTGTATGGCAAGATGAGAAAACCTAATATCGACGCAATAACCGCGCCAAACGAAAAGAAAACCGACATAAACGTCAGCAAGTAATGATGAGATTTTGGAAGGAATTCAAGAAACAATGCACCTAAGAAACAAATGTCAAAAAATAAATAAGGTTGCTATGAAAATCGGCGGCAAGTACTACAGGTGACAAAGCGTGATCTTTCTTCTTACCATCAGTTGGCATGTTTCCACCTACTCCAAATCCAAGGAAAAATAAAAACAAGCACAGACTCCAAAAAGTAGGAGCAAAGCTGGATGCAATACCAAATAGAGCAGTTATGGCCAGAGTAGTGTTAAATGGAATTTTTCGTCCATTGGAATCTGAGTAAGTACCCCAGAATAAGGCTCCAAACATCATTCCCATGAAGATGGAACTTGAAAGCGTTCCAATGAGACGGTCCTCAACATCGAAATGATCTGTCACAAACACTATTAATAATTGACGGGGTGATATGTCGTTGCGGTGTTGTAAATTTTACCTTGCACTCGGGGTAATATAATGGCAATACACTGTATCTCAAATTGTCAGCTGTGCACACAAACAGACGTTGGAAATAGCATAATGATGCGTATCGATGCATACCTGTAGCCACATCTAAAGATCGAAAAGTAAACAATTAATTACTGGTTACAAATCACTGAGCCAGTCTACCCCAAAAGGCGGTACCAGGTATACTTACATTGTCAGCAAGCCAACCAAACCCGCAAAGAACCTAGAAGCAACGTTAGGATCGATAGACCAGTGTCCTATTTCACACCAGGACTAGAAATACTAACCAGAAGCTTTTTCTGAAATGAGCCGTATCCCACTTTTGTGATTAGAGCGTCCAGTGGGTTATCTCCCCTGGCTTCTGGTGGCATGGCAATTTGTCCATGGAGCAATTCCTCTTCGATTTCTCTTGATTCGTCAAACAATGCTGTTCCCTCCACTTCGTCAGTATCCGCCGTTGGCAGCTGTGAGAACTCAGCGTTGTATCTTGATTTTCCATTCATGTCAAGAGGATGTTCATGAGAGTAAGGTGAATGGTCTTACCCCTACCATATATGGGAAAGACGCAATTTGAAATCCAATTGGGACTGTGTTTTCACTTGTCTCGGCCACCAGGAACGCTATTATTTTTCCTCGTACTCCGAGTGCAGCCTAAAAATATAAGTCTCAGTTGAAGACCAGGAACTTCGATATTACATTACCAATAGATCCCACTAGCGAATACTAATACATTGAACGATAATTTCATACAAATAATTGATGTGTGGTCACTCATCACGTATGGAAAGGGAGGACTTCAAAGTCAGCGTTGCCCCTACTGCGCGCAAAAACCCTGTGGCACCCAATTATTAATTCGTAACGACCTTAGCCAAGTACTAAGATAAATGAAAAATACCTGACATCTGCATATTAATGCATATGGAATGATTCGGCTCCAAAATATGAACGAATAACGAATGTTTCATGGTTATGAGCAGTTCATTCACAGAGAGAACACTTTTGAGACGAAAACAACTTTTGTGCTGGTCTATACAACCTTGTAGTACCCATATAATTACGAGTTTACTCTATGATTTAATTGAAGTGGAGGCAAGAATGCCTCTTAGAGCCCATTCCATGACTCCTTCTTTCCATACAAGATCATGCGCTTCACCTTCTAAAACTTTAACTCTAACGTCTTTCATTGTACTAGCCATCCATTCTATACCTCGTAATGGGATCAGGTTATCCTTATCACCCCAAACTACAGAGACTGGAATATCGATATCAGAAAAACTGAAGCCAAAGGGGTGGTATTTTTCGAGGGCTACCAGGACATCATTAGTTTGACCCTCGGACGAGGGTTCCGCCATCCTCATTTTGTTCATTCCAAGGAATAGGGACATCTGTTGCAGGCGAACCATATGTCGCAGCGGTCGATGGGGAGGGAAATCCGTCGGTATATCTGCATAGTCGTCATCTAAAGATGCTAGAAGCTCATCCTCCTCTAACGCCATCAAGGCCGAATGAAAGTTGGAGGATGTGGGAGAGGTAGCCGAGCTCATTTTCCCAGACATGCTACTATTCCGGGAGATCCCAGACGATTCAGTGCTTGACCGCTGACTAGCATCAGCCATTCCCGACATTGACATCCAGTTAGCGGAAGGTGAATTGGATACTTTGTTGATGGTCCACATAGCGTCCATGCCTAATGTTAAGGTGCGGGTCATCAATCCACCTGGTAATCGCTTAGTCCACTTGAACGTGTTCGCTGCTGCTGTTGGAACCCATGGTGAGATCAAATGGACGGTGCCAACAACACGATTGGGATACTTCTTAGCCACCGCCAACGAAAACACGGCTCCGACAGACTGTCCAATTAGACTAAATCGTTTTATACGCAAGTGGTCCGCCAATTGGACAACCACATCTGTTGAGCGATCATAAAGTATCAATGTGATGCTGAGAGCTCCTACTTAACACCAAATATGAAGAGTTTCTTACCTGCCCATTGCATTACAGTCATGTTGAGCGCGCTGCATGCTTCCGTCAATCCATACCTACCACCCATCGAAACAACTTATTAGCTTATTTTTTAATGTTTAGTTTCCGTTCGGTGCCATGAAATCTTACCCCAGGCGCTCTGGTATAATCAGTCGTATTCCATATCGTTTACTGATGTCATGAAACATGACACCTACTAATCTTGAGCAACCTAGACCCCCGATGAGCATCACCGCATGGCCATCTGGGTTGCCATATTCAGCGAATCCGACAAGATGGGAAGGAAAAAGATCTTCTGTCGTTCCTCTCGATTGGTAAAAGAACGTTTGATGTAGTAGAGGATCATTCAGGATTTCCAGCTTCGAACGCCTTGATTTCATCTCACTATCACTAGTCATTCTACGGGAAGCATGTTTTGTGGGTGGAGAGGCAGCTGGATACGGATTCAGGCCGCTGTTGTCCAATAGGCGACCATTGATAGTCGGCATCGCCTGCGATGCTGGTGTAGAGAAGAAAGCGTCTGATTCATCTCGGTCTAGTGTTCGTGTTCTTGCATTGCTCGGGTGTTTAGTACGGGATGAAGTGGGTACTGGCGTCGACATTGAACTTTCCGGAAACGGAGATCTGGACATATGATTGGCAACTTCAGGAACAGGCACATTGGTAGAATCGAAGGGAAAAGCCTGCATTTTTGAAGTCATGGTGTGGTGCTGTTGATGTTCATACCACACTGAAGGTTGAGAGGCTTTTGAGCTGAGTCACAAACATTGAAATTGGGCCAGGCATTGACCATTTGCACTCTTGGTGGTACAACTCCTTCTACCATTATTTCAGAGAACAGTGTGTAACGCGACATAAAGCCTTATTGGAGACTGGCCAAAACTTGACTGAGAGTTACATCGAAAGCCATTTGCTCTGTGGAAAGCATGCTTGCCTATGATAAAGGATGAACCAATGAACCACATCGCATTAGCTTTTTCAAAAACTGGTTGGGACTTTATCATGCATTGATAAATGAAACCTCGATGCTAATTGGTATGCCAGAGCTTGCGGCTCTACATGGTAGCCATTGCCCATATCACAGTCACAGGTAAACGACGACTGATAGCCTATCACATACAGTAAACATATACAATATGATCCACTGGTTTATGTATACCAAATGCTTACTTGAGCAAATGTACTCACAATTACCATTCAAAGATTTTTCGGGGGAAAGGGTGAGAAATAAATTATTCCTGTGCGAGATTGATCCATAGCATCTCATAAGAAGCCGTAATTCGGACGCTGTTGTCGACTTCTCTTCTTTTCAAGGTTTGGTGATTTCTTTTTTTTTATAAGTGAAGGCACATGGCCGAGTCATATCGAAAGAGCTATGGTGAGTGGAAGCATGGATCTAATTACCCATCCATGAAGAAGAGGTTCATATTAATCATTCACTAGGCTCAGAAAGCTCTGACTCTCTTGACGAAAGCCAAGACGAAATTCAACCAAACGAACTGCGAAGTAGATTTAAAGATGAAAAACCCGGCGGCGAGAGTTCCACCGATAACACTGATATTGGCAGCCAAGCGCGAAATGATAATGGCGATCGCCAGAACCCTGAGGGTGACGAAGATTTTGACTGGAATCAAGAAGATGACCCTATGGAGGATCATGCATACAAAAGAAAGATGGTTAGCAAAGATCGGCCGTTCACATTTTTTCTATATGGAACATACGGAAAATGGTTCAAACGGTTTATTGTAGTGTTCATCGGTCTAGCACTAATAGCTGTCACTGCGCTTCTCAATGTTCTGTACGCTGGCAAGCAAAACGATGTATCCTTAAACCTAGAACTCTGGTTTACCTTTCTCTCCTTCATATACGTTATGGCAATTGTGGTGCATTACTTTGTTGAAGCTATCCCTGCCGTCATCCAACGGTTTGTCAAAAGGATGACGCCGACTACCTTGGAGATATTGAAGATGCGGTTGGCTGTACGTTTGAAGTCAGTTACAGATCATTTTTTTTTTTCCATGATAGCCGCTAACTTTACCAACTCGTCCATCGAAATGTCAATAGTATTATCATTCTCTCAAATCCTATATCAAAATTCTCTTTGTGTCCGCCTGGGCATGGGGTGCTTGGGCGTTTCTACTGCAAGTGCCTAATGATGACCGCAATTACGGCTACACTTGGATTGTCAAATCATTTCTTGAAGCTCTCTTCTTCGCAAGTGGCTTTTTATTCCTGGAAAAATTTATATTGCAATTGATAGGTGAGTAACGATTAAAGAACGTAGGATAAAGAAACATATCTTGCATTGACTAAAGGATTGAAAACGACAGTTACTGCATTTCACAGGTGAGATAATACATTTAGCTTTCTGGATAGTGTCCTTCACATTTACCTCTTTGTATTGTAGAAAGGCTTATTACGAACGAATTGAAAAAAATGACAATGCACTTAAAGGTAAATATCTCTCTAGAGGATTTCAACTGGATGCCAACGATACTGAAGCACAGCACACGCATAGTGTTGGACAAACTGAAGAAATCAATTCGAAAGCGACCGGACTTTGACCTTCGAAAGCATAATAAGAAGATTCGTGACGGTGATCAAAACGAAAGGGACAAAGATCAAAGCAGTGATCAACAAGTTGAGCCAGATACGACATCGAATGGTGGAAGCACTAATTATGAAGAAAAAGGAGAGGCTCATCATGAGGAACACGTTCAGCATGAAAATGAGCGTGATTTAACAAATCGTCAGGAAACCAAGGATAAACACCGTCGACGAAGCTCAGCCTCAGGTAATCACAAATATGAAGAAATCGAACATAGAGAAAGTGTTCAGCAGGAAGAAAGTCAAAAAAAGGACAATCAAGGGCCTGTTCGGTTTTCAAATAAAGACAGCGTCAAAATTACAATACAATCCGACACCAAGCCAGAGGCGCATACCGTGAAAAACTTCTTTAGCAAGAAGATGAAGAATCTGACACGTCGTCGTCCCACCCTATCGACTCGTACTAGTTCATTTGATGGCAAATCATTTCTTGACTATGGAACAACCAATTTTAAAAAGTTATTCAACAACAAGGCGAAATCGATGGCGTCCATTTTACCAGGCACTCACAACTCACGGCAAGAAGCAAAATGGCTAGCACGTGAATTGTTCCACAATATGGTAGCTCCGGAAAATGGCTATCTTGTCAAAGGCGACTTTGTCGACTATTTCACTACGTCTGATGAAGCTGAAAAAGCTTTTGACTTGTTTGATCGTGATAAGAACGGCAATATCTCAAAACGCGAGTTACGAAATGGAACTTTGGAGATATTCAAGGAAAGAAAGCATTTAGCAGCATCCCTTCGTGACCTATCGCAGGCTTCGGGAAAACTGGATATCATATTGATGTCTGCATTTGCAGTTGTTTGGGCACTTATTGTCGCAACTGCTTTCGGTGTCGACGTTGGCAGCCAACTACTGCCCCTATGGACCATGTTCGTGGCCATCAGCTTCATTTTTGGTAATAGTGCCAAGGATATGTTCGAAAGTATCATATTTGTTTTTGTCACGGTAAGTCAAGGATAATGAATTTTAACGCTTCCAGTCTATTTGCTCAAGGAATTAACTGACTCTAAACAGCACCCATATGACGTTGGTGATCGTGTATTTGTTGGCGCAGAGAACTGGACAGTGGTTGAAATAGATCTGTTGACTACGACGTTCAAAAAATGGGATGGAACGACGCTGTATGCCCATCATACTGTTATTGCTCCACAGTATATATGCAATCTTAGAAGATCTGGTCCAATGGCTGAAGTCATTGGTAAGTAAATGCAAACGTCTGTGAGTGACGATATGATTCTATTCTCTTCTAATGTTGCCTCTGATGCAGAATTTAACATACACTTCTCTACGACCGCGGACAAAATCTACCGCCTGAGAGAATCTATGCTTGCTTGGTACAATGACAAGCCTCGATCATTTACACATAACACCATGTGCATGAATATCATGTCACTGGAAAACATGAACAAATTCACTTGCATATTTTACATTGAACACTGCGCTTCCTGGCAAGATATGGGATTCAGGTGGTCCAACCGAAACTCATTCATGATGCAACTGAAGGCCACTCTGGAGGATCTTGAAATTGGTTACAGTCTTCCAACTCAACCGATTGCGACAGGAAGTGACATACCTAAAGAACTGCGAAATTTTGGCAAATACAACGACTATGGCGCAAAAGGCTTTGTAAGAGAGCCGCTGCATGACCATGATAATAACAACAGTGATACGAAATAGTACGCTCTATGTTTTATGTACATTTTTTCTAAACGAGTCTCGATATTAACAAATAGGTAAATAAACTTAAAAAAAATTATGAATTAGTGCTATGATCGCCGAGGTTGGAAGAAAAGCCGGCGTGATTCTTTTTGAGTGTCATTGTTGCTTGGTACACCTTTCCGCTTCTTAGAAGTCGGAACAGAATTTGATTGGGCTGCAGTATTTTGGTTGTGTCGATCTTCATCTTGAAGTTTCTTAGCAAAGTGATAATCAGCATGTTCTGCTACATCTTTTATGGCAATCCAGTTGCCACATTCATCACATCGAGTTCCTTCCTCTGCATCCGTCGAACTAGTATCTTTTCGGGAGAAGAATAAAGCAGCAATGCCTTTTTTGTTACTCTCCACCTTTTCATATTTTGCAGAACGGCTAGAGCTTGCTTTCATGTCTACAGTGGTTGTCTCCTGAAAAGCGAGCTTGTGATTGAAATTTCCTTCCGCCGAATTCGAGAAAAACTTGGTTATATTGTGAGTGCTAGATGATTCATCCACTGTCAAGCCAGAAACAGCCAACGACATGTGTAACAGCGGAAAAGGGTGCTCGCAAGTTTTAAAAAGTTCATTAGCTCTTTGCGTTATGACATCTAGTCAAAGGCGTTAGATTATTTCATCTGCGGCATCATGCCACTTCAATCGAAGGTATGAACACTTACCAGGAGAAATGACCTCTGAGCGTTTAACCATGGGACATGACTTTGATCGGCCAGAACCCTCACCAGAACAGCGAAAATGGATCTGCATGATGACAGAGTGAATACGGGCTAGAATATTTTTCACCTGGTAGTAACCTGCTGCTTACCACTAGAGTCTTTGGCCATCTTGATCGCTCTTCAAAATCATCCATCATCCGCATATAAATTTCGGATCCTAGGACCGCCATCCAACGCTCTACATCAGATATCAAACGAAGTGGTGGCGAGAACACTTTAGATGCCATCATGGATTTTGTGATCTTAATCGTGGTGACTACGATAATTGCATTAAGCGGGGACTTCATCATATGTAAGCAGTGTTCAACAATCTTCATACCTTCGCTATTGTCTATGCCGCGGCAGATATCATAGAGCCATATACCTTGACTCTGACCAAATTTAGCTTGCAATTCTTCGCTGCTATACTTCCTGTAATTTATTCCAATCAACAGGATGCCTTGGTGCGTTGTGAGTAATTCATTCATTCACATACCACAAATCACCGGCAGTTTGAATGTTGAGTGCGTTCTCGACTTCATTCCCTAACTTCCCTCCCAAGTTTCGTATTTTGGTGAAAGGAATCGATTTCATAAACTTCAAAACGATAGTTTCTCTCATGGTTGTCTATCAGAGGATGTGTCGTGAATATCACTATTTCAGAGACAAAGCATTGGCATTGAACTTACTTGCTTATTCGGCTTGTTTAAGGCAGAGCAGAGTTTGGCGACTGTTTTATTATGAGCTATGCCAGCAGAGCAGGTGTATTTCAATGTGTCGAATATGTCTTTTCTGATTTCCTTGGCAATTTCTGCGCCTATGGATAGTTGTAAGTCTTTCCAATTTCCTTTGAGTTTAGGAGCAGGTGGGCTTCGATCAGAGGCAATCAAGTGGCTCACGGCGTCGTCACCTTCCACGGAAGTCGGATTCAACAGACTTGATTCTTCATCGCTTAAAGCGAGGAAGCCCAATGGTTCCCAGTCAATCTCGTTGGAGAATTCTTCGGTAGCGTCTTCCGAAAATAGGGAACCATATTTTTCTATTAATCTAGCATTGACAATATCCGTTACATCCAAGAAGGCTTCATCAAGACCAGCTTTCTGTACTTTGCTGCAGTATTTCTGAAAAATCTTGAATATATTTTGAGAGGCCTTTCGATAAATATCGAGAGAAACTTTATGTGTGAGCTGTGATGGATTGTCATTGTATTTGGCGATAGGGTCGTGCATATTGAATGTGGCTACATGAACGGGCCGCAAATCTATAAAGCGTTAGTACACGAATTCAAGCGTATACACGGTCAGTGGTAGCTTACTTGGGCACTTTTTGAACGCTTCTTCTATAGGCATATGTCTTGTAATTCCTGCCGCCTTTGCTGGGTAATTAACTGGAACGACTGGTAATGAGAAGAGTGACAGCAGCTTTGACAAACCATCGCGCTCGAATCATACCGGCTATTAACCCTTGCCATTGCTGCACAGCCACTGGCAAATCTGGCGGTAAATTAAGTCTGACTTGCTCTATATAATATGAGGAATGAGCCTTACAATATTAAAGAGAGGTACGAGAAACTGCGAACTATACGTGCCTACTTGACAATAGAAGCAATCTAGATAATCGTTCAGTTAATATTGTATGGAAGATATATAATTCTAAGGTGATGTCAAATAGTACCTAGGTCGATGTGAAGAATGCATTGAGAGCCTTTTAGTGCAAGCGGTAGCCTCTGCTTCGACATGTGACGGCAAAGCAATGAAAGAACTGCGTGCCATAGGGTATTGCAGTTTGAGCAGTCATGGAATCGGAGTTACGACAACGTGTCCCAATGCTTCCAGTCCGCAACTGGAAACTGTGGTAAGGTATGCATCTTTGGTCATTCTGCGTCCTATTGTCGTTAGCTACCATAGCGTATTCTCTGAAGTTTAACCTGGGTAATCTCTTCGGGGATCAAGATGACGACGGCCGAGATTCTGATACAATCTTAGTCGGCTCTCCCCTTCCCAGCCCGTTCCGATCGGCAGCAGTAGAACAGCATCTTCAGACAAGTAAGTGCAGTGGAATGACCCGTCTATCGAAAAAAAAAACCACCCGCTAAATCAAAAAATCGTGTATTCTAATAGTTCAGTGTAAAAAATATCTATGTATTGAGACTCTAGAATGTGTGGACAAGCCAATTCAGTGTTCATGCCCCGGTACAAACAGCCAAAAGTGCTCCACAAAAGACTGGTATTTTTGTCTTCGAGGTGATCAGGACTGCAAGGAATGGAAATATTACACAAAATGATGCGAATGAGCAGCCAAAGCGAAGCAGTGCTACGTCTTTTCCAATTCCAATTATATATTGGCGTCCAAAGTTGATTGTTGTCAATGCGTGACACTATAAAAGCGCTTTGTGTTGAACTCCCATCTTATTTACCCACTTTTTATTCTTCTCTTTATTCTTCTACAATCATTTATACAATCGTCGTTGCTGCTCACACTTCTCTGATTATAATCACTATCATCAACAGTTTTGATACAAATATATACGTTCTTCTGCTTGTCAACTGCGTTCCTCTCCCCTTCAGGATCCTAGAGATCACACCCTCCTGTCTCCCGAAATGGTGATTGAAAACTACTCGCCTTCTGTCTTGTACTCTTCTCCTCCTCATGTAATTGATTGGATGCGACAAAGAATCTTTAGTGCGAATAATTTGACACATTTGTATTCTGGAAGCGGGATTTTGGTATCTTCTCTGGCTTGGGAGGATAAAGAACTTTATCATCACACTACCTCTCTACCCTCTGGAGATAATCAGGTTCACCATCTTCTTAGAAAAGAGAATATAAGTGAGAATCTCGATAAAGGTATGATGTCGGTGTTCAACCAACCGTTCCGCTATATACGGCTTGACCACACATGGACTAACGCCGACAACTTTTTCCATGCAGGGGATGTTGAGAACACTCGGTCACATTCAGAAAGAAGTAAGTCAAGCTTTTCTTTAAAAGCCTGGAATTTTTAAAATATATCTGATATTCCTGCTCTACTGAAGAGAAAAATTTAGCCAAAATACAAAATACGCCTCGCGTTGCCCACATCAACAATGCATCGAAGAGAACCACGCTAGTTGAATACCCTAAGATTTGCAAAGATAAAAAGGCCGACCTTTATAAAACCGAAATGTGTCGTAACTGGCAAGAGATTGGTTACTGCAGGTAATTCTAAATAAGCCTTTAAAGAAGTGGTTGCATATGACTAAGTACAACCATGTCATTTCTACATTGAAGGTACGGAAAAAAATGTAGGTACGCGCACGGCCACACTGAACTACGAGCTGTCAAAAGACATCAACGATACAAGACTGAAGTATGTCGCACATACCACGAAACTGGAACCTGTCCGTACGGGGTTCGCTGTACATTTATCCATGATGAAAAAAGTTCCGCCAATCCCAACATTGTATTCCTCAATGGAAAGAAACCTAAAGCGGAAAAAGGAAAAATTTACAACACTCATGTTGTCGCTGGCGCACGCAATGCTCCCTCAAGCCCAGACCTTTCTATCGACTCTACTTGTTCATCAACCTTCCTTCTATCCGACCAAACAGTTCCATCGCTTGATGATATATCCGACTCTGCTGATATATTCATCGCCAACAACTCTGGAGTTACTGCCGGTCTTGTAGCTCAGGACCAGTTGCATAATTTTGAGGAACTCGATCACGTCAGCATCACTGATAGTTTCATTAAAATTTCCAACAGCAGTGAGCCCTTCGAAGTAAGTGAAATTTTTCTAACCTAGCGTCTTTAAATTGTTTCAACCTGATTGACTCTTTTACCAGAACAATAGCTGTGATACCCCAGTGTGTAGTAACGCAGTCTCGAGTAGTTTCGAGCGTGATCACTATAACCTGCCATGGATCAAGTCAATAGACTCTATCGCTCCAACACTATCCGATTACTTTGAAAAGTTTGGTAGCGAGGACGGATATCAACTTCATAAAAAACCATTTCAAAAGAATGCATTTAAAGACGAGGCAGTCAAAGGTATTTCAACTAGAATAGCGTCGTCCGACAGGTTCAGCTGGCAGACTTCAGATCACCGACATGTTAATATCGTATGATTGATATGTCCTGTGGATGTTCTTATATTTGAACAATCTGGTCTGCTTATTATAAAGGTTGCTACTCAAAATAAAAGTAACGCAAAAGCTTGTCATGAGTGTTTGAAATTTTGTATGATCGGCCCTTCGAGCACAATTTTTTTTTGGTTCAGAACTTTGTTGCTGCATTATGGGTGCTCAAGCTTCAAAACAGGTTGCCCGGAAGTTTCCTCAACATGCCAATCCAGAGACCTTAACACAAGTCCCAAAGACTTCTCCTTCATCAACACCTTCCTCCTCACATCTTAATTCCACGCCAGATACTGCATATGTTGCCGATGGTAAGATCTCTTGACATTCTGGGGTTACAAATTACATTCGCGCCAAGTGCTGATTTTCTGGAACTTCAGATCACAAAAGCGAAGCTATACAAGAAGACGGAAGAGACCCAGATTTTGCCAAAAAGCTGAATACGATAGGCCAAGTAAATGTGCCAGAATTCAAAACAAAATATCGACCGGTCAGTATACTTTGGTATTTACCATTATTTGGTGCAGCGTATTAAACTGCCATATTTCTACAGTCAGATTCTATGCTTCAGATTATGCGCCAACGTAGTCAAGTAGAAAAGGCTGAAGATTTCGATCCTTTATTACCAAAGTCCCAGAAAGCCGAGAATCGCATCACTATAGACGATTTGTACAGCCTTTTGGAGCAACGCAAGCTACTTCCTGCCAACGCTTCAAACGAAGACCTCCAGCAACTGACAAGCAAGTATCCTTTAAATCAGCAGACTGTCCATACCTTGTTCAAATATGTGAACAACATCACACCATTTGATGTTGGCAGCGAAGATGAGAGACAACGAGGCGTTTGGGTTGAAAATAGAGAGGGGCTTAAAAGTTATATGCAACAAGCGCACGCTATCACCAAAAAGCGAGAAGAATCTCGAAAAGCGGAAAAGGCTGATAAACCAAATAGTGCCCAACCAGATAGTGAAAGGAGAAAGAAGGAAAAGGAATTGGAAGACTTATTTACAGATTAGACAGGTAGACGGACGGTACTCTTTTACTTCACTGGACTTTAGCTGTTCTATTTGCAGAATAAATGTACCTCTTCCTTTTCAAAACATACAACGGCTTTATCTATTCCCATATCATAATTGAGCCATCCACGCTACCGGATATCATGGCGGTTTCGGTCGGATGGTAATCGATAGAAGTGACAATTCCCTTGTGACCTTCCAACGCCTCAACTTGATTACCCTGATGATGAAATTATTAACAGACTTTTCAAAAATGTCCAACTGCAGTCGTTCAACTCACCTCTAATAAATCCCATATATACAATTTGTTGTCCTCGGATCCGCTAAGCACATATGCATCATCATTGGAAAACGCTGATTGCAATTTGTACTCTGTATGCTGATGTCCTTTGAATCTGGTGCAAAACATTAGTCTTTGGCTATTCAAACACGAAATGCAAGTTTGCTCAACATACTCATTCAAGAGGGTGCCGTTCGCTTTATCCATTAACCGAATGGTGTCATCAGTAGTGCTGACTAGAATACAGTTTCGATCCTTAGACATTCTGACTGAAGTGATAGCGGCTGAGAAAAGCGACTCGTGAGTTTCAAGTATGACAATGGTGAAAGAAAAGAGTGCAGAATATACATACCTCCAATGTAGTCTTCTTGCAACTGCCCCATCCGTATATCATAGTTGCGTAGGCGTCCATCAGCCGAGCTAAGTTTGTCTTTCGTCAATAGTGGTTCCCATAGAGGTGATGCCTGTATCCACTTACCCTACTATTAATTCTGCTCCGCGAATTAGCAATGACATGACGCTGTCTTTGCAGTCTTCTAAAATTTGAATTGGGCTGGTGTTTTGCGATCTGCAACCGTACAAAAATCAGCCGCTGAGTAATGCGTGAACAGCAAAGTGACTAGTACACTACCTGCAGTCCCAGAGTCGTACTGTGGTATCAAAAGAGCCTACGCATCAATGTACATTAGATCAACTTTTGACAGCCTGTTGTTTACAGCGTATATATCGCTCTTACCACTTGCAAGAACAGTTCCGTCATCATTAAAGCCTACACAATTAACTGACTGAAAGAGCCTTTAATATAGATCAACACAGTAACCTTGATTGGCATTACACACTTACTTCGTAGTGGCCAGCATATCTACGAATGACACTTCCAGTCGACACGTCCCAGCAGAACACAGTTCTGTCATTACCGCAGCTTGCAAAGCGAGAGTTATCTGCCGTTCTAGTATACTCAAATGCGTAAATATATTGGCCATGGATCTATAGGGTTCTTTTTTCATATGAAGTACTTACACAGAAATTCCTAAAACATCACGACCATGGGCACTGTAAGTTTGAATTCGGGCTCCTGTACTTGCATTCCATAGCATGATGCTACGGTCCCGGCTTCCAGATAAACAGTATTGCCCGGTCTTGTTATAGGTAACATAGTGAACAGCGCCAGTATGTTCGGCTAAGGTTTTGACACGTTTAGTAGGATATGGAGTCATTCATTCGAAAGATCAAAAAGCTTTCGATCCCAAAAGCGCAAAAGACGCAGTTAATATTGGAGCTCAGACTGGTCGAGCTTCTTTCACACCACAGCGTTATTCCCATCCACAATTAAGAAGGTTTTATTAAACTGCATTGAAAATGGAGTGAGATGTCGAGAAGTCTGGTGCTATTTTACATATGAAGTGTTCGCGTTACTCTGAATGGTTGAAAAGCAGTTAGCGACTGTTTGAAAGACATAGCACTTGCGCATGATCAATAATTTTTACCTGACGACATTTTCCATTGCTCTTCTTCTCATCTTTTCACGAACACTTGGTAGAGTAGTAGTGGGTATATCTCGCATCAACCTATAAGGATGGCCAAAAGAAGTCAATATGATGATCGCAAACCTAGCCCAAAATTTTGGATGTTCCTTACTTTTCCATTACAATAACAGCATGCTGAGGTTGAATCCTTGCGTATTTTTTGTTCTTCAGTTGCGGGTTGAGGAACTCCTCAGCATTGTCTGATTGTATCAAAGTAAGAAGCTTTGAAGAAGGGTGGTCAATAAAATTTGAATTGAGGTATGTAGTAACGGCTAGCTTGAAGACCATAGTTTACCTGGCGAAGTTCCAAGAACGTATCAACAATGGTGGGGTCACCAAGGTTTTTCACGAAATCTTCCAAGAATTGAACATCGACATCGAAGTTTTGTAAAGCAATATCTGTAACAGCAGGCTCATTTGGATCCAATAAAAGGTCCTATAGGAAAGGTCGTACATTAGCTTAGCACTTGGTCATTGTATTTCAGTATAAGATACATACCATCATAGCATGGCTTAAGTGATCCAAAGCGTCAAAGTAAATGAGACTCTTGATTGACTCTGGCAAGTTAAGTAAAGCAGCATTGATCACGTTTGTCAAGAACGTCACCAAATCAAACAAATATGGGCTTGGTTGGTCTTGTCGTTCCTCGGCCATCCTAAAATCACCAGCGTAAGTATTTATACTACATCGGCACCTGTATAAACCAACATAACCTACCAGTCATATTCAGATAACTCCAAGAATTCGTCGAGTTTGAGGTTGACAACCTTGAAGATACGCTTCTCTGCAGTCTGTCGCGTCTCTTTAAATGTGGAAGTGGCTCGTAGTTGAATGGGACCTGCTCGATGGAATGATCGAGTTTCCATAAGCAGCATTTCAAAGTCTGGACAAGTAGACTCAAAGTACTCGATATTGATGATAATCTGCACAATCTGTGACAAATTGGTTGATTCCAATTTCTTGAGCAAAATAGCATTGACTTTGGTGATGAGAAGACTATCCACCGCCTGAGAAAGATTCATATTAGCCGAAAATGTTGATCGTGAGCATAAGCTGATACGAGATGCTAAGTACCTTTTTGAGGATTTCGTCCATTTCTCCGTGCGTTTGGGAAAAGCCTTCAGCAAATTGATAGAACTGATGAACAAAAATGCTGACATCTCGACAGCACGTAGGAAATACTTTTGAAAATGGCAAAGTAAAAGGGAAACTAGAGTACGACATTTTGATGAGTTAGTAATGTAGGAAGTCCTGGCAGCTTTGGATCTAAACCTGTTATTTACCCATATTGTTTAAGTATATCACGATCGGGTTGATATCGCGTATATTGCATTACTTCATCCAAATCTTCTTGGTTATTGACGGTCATTGGCATACATTCATCTTCTTGGACAATCTTCTCAAAGTTTTCGCTGTACTGATTGATCAGTAATTCAGAGTATCGCTGGAACAGGGTAAGAAGAGTCTCTTGCAAATTTTTCACTGGATAGTTAAAGCCCTAACATGATAACAATAAGTTAGATAGGTCCAAAGCGTACATTCATGCTTCAGTTGCAAGACATATACATACCTCCAGTGTTTGATTGAAAATGAGTAGACTGTACTTGATTTGCAAAAACAACTCTGGATCGCGACAGCCATGCAAACTATGAGAGATGACGGCGATAACCTTGGTAGTAACCATTTCCCAGAGGGCATCGACCTAGTGTATCCAAAGTGAAATTAGCTAGTGTCCTTAACTATTGCACAAAACCCCAGTACCCTACCTCTGCTTGGCTACGGAAATCGGTGGTGCTATGCATAATGACATGCTCAATGATGAAAAATCCAACGATATCTTGAAGAAGTGTTTCGAAGCTATCCATATTGCCATCGCGCAAATTGATGGGCATATTCAAGGCTAAATTGGCTTGTGCCTGATGAAAAGGGTTAAACACTCGCTCAGATGTATACAGTAGTGCTATTACTAAGATACGTACTCTTCGATCCTCTTCATAGGAGTTCTTGAATTCGTTTTGAGTTCCTAGAGTGTTGTACACATGAATGCATCTGTATAAGGGTTCGAAGTCTATATCGACCTCATCCAAGATGTTGGCTGCAGCAACGTCAGTTAATGTGCATAAGATAGCCATGCGGTTTTCGAGAGAAAGTGAAATATAGCTTACACTCGTTGCCTTCATTTACAACCATTTCAATCGCGGAATTGACGTTGTGATGCTGAAGACTTTTAAGTTTGGGGTTCTCAGCCGTTCTTTGTCGCCACCTATCTTGTCTTTCTTGCATGTATTTCATTGCCAACATTCCGATTTTCCTCGACGTACTTCTTAGCCTAATAAAATGATAAATAACCAAATCCTTTACAATCCTTCAGCAAGTCTCATACATACTTGTAAAGCCATTCTTTCAATTGTGCCGTAACGGATTCCTTGATCATATTTTGCATGACGGGTACGCTTTCCTCTGATTGAAAGGCATCAATATACAATTCCTCAGAATCAATTGAATAACGAATACTACACACCCAAATACTTAGCAAAGCCGTACTGAGCAACATTTTTCAGATGTTGGGTTTGCAGGCGGTCTAGAATCTTTGTATATGTCCAAAACACGTCAGCATAATGAACGGAATGAGGATTATGCCCTCAGCGGTAATTACCTTAAGAGCAGCATAATGCTTTCCATTTTCCATTTTGAGCCTTACTGATTCCGCTAATTCAAGTACGATTAAACTATCTTGTATCGAATCCATTGCCTTCTCCAGGTTATTTTGAACCTTTCGAGCTTCCAACAACTCCATTTTCTATTTTTGATATGAGTCAAAACATTCGATTCACAAGTGCAAATATGCTCGCACAATGCATACCTTGTCGGCCAAGTCGTCTCCTGTCGTACGAAGTGATTTGTTCAAATCGGCGATGTTGCGCTTCAACGACAAAGAGCCTTGTCGAACCTTCAAAAGTTGATCAACCGAGTTCACAAACTCCTAAAATTTTTCAAACCACAGTAGAGTTCAGTATATTATAGCCACACAGGGAAATAACAGCGCGTTTCGCAACTCAGTGCTGACCTGATAGTTTGCATTGCACATGCGTTCTATTTCACCATCCTTTTTTCGAATGAATGCGTCTAATTGGTCGATGAATGCTTCTTGCTTCTGTGACTCGGAAATCTGCTTAATGATTGGGCCAAGTTGTTCTATACTCTCTGCATCGTCCAATCCAGCCGTGAGTGTAAGTGAGGATGAGTCGATGGAGGCTTGCAAAGACATAGAGTTGTCCGAAATAAGCGAAGACGACGCTATTGACTGTACCAGCTGGCTGAGCTGTGGATCTCTGTTAGTCTTGTCATCCATTAAAGCCATTTAAGCTGGTTTTTGATACCAGAAGGAGTTCAAGCTACCGACAAGTATCTCCAAACGCAGTTCAAAATGCGCGGAGTTAAAATAGTACCCAAAAATCGAAAGCAGTGTCAAAGCAATCCTTGACCATGTACCCAACACAATCAGACCAGCCACAAGGCAAACTACATTTCAAAGCATTCAGAGAAAATCATTTCGGTCCAGAGAAGGTCTACCACTGGAACAGTCTGTTCTTTCCTAATGGCAACCAATGGCGATCAACACCTCAAGACGGTCAGCAACAGCACGTTAGTCAAAATCAAACAAAACGGCGGCCACGTGCAGTAGAAAACGAAAAGAAGTTAAATAAGAGGCCACGGATCAGTCATGAAAGCAGAAAAAGTTCCAAGCATAATGAAAGCAAGCTGTCCGAGCAAGCTATTGAGATATTTCGGTTCTCAGAGGCTTGGAAACGAGAAAGTAAGGCAGTCTTGCGCGCAATGTAAAATTTTGAAGAGACTACTAACGGTTTGCACTAATCCATACAGAAGCTCAACGGTTGGCTGAACAAGAGAAGGAAGATGGCGTAGAGAAAAAAACCATATTTCCTGAATCATCAGCTGCACATTTAGATGGAACTGAGCCACCGGCTACATCTCTCGTTCTCTCTAATACGGAGCTAATTGATACTTCGCCGGATATCAAAACTTTAGAACATCTCGTTAACTTCACGTATACCGCAAGCTGTACTCAAGACACTGTTCTTTGGCCAGTTTTGCCGTTGCGTTTATGATAGACTGTACACTATATTGTAAAAAAAGTAATAATTGTATTCTAGTTCAACCTCCATGCAGAGTGCTAATAAAGACAATTTCATCATTGTCTTGCAATTGGTAATCGAGCTCATCGCAAAGTTCCCAGTCGACATTGTTGATCAACACCAATATTCCAGGTCGGCTGTTGTAACAAAAAATAGAAGATCAGTCAGTACAAATTTTTCTTTGGCTGGTATACAATCCGAAGGTATATACATACACAGTGTCTTTATCAACAAAGAGTTCCTTCTTTTCAGTCATCATGTTATCACGGATATAGAATATGAGATCTTTGAGAGTGCTTGGCTGATTATCTGAGGAATTTGCGGGTTGCTCAATTGTGTGGTGTCGAACATTGTCGAACAGAAGCTCCATGCCCCCACTATTGTATGATCAAGTTAGTTTCACGTTCTGTCCCTTCCTTGGTCCTAAATAGAATATATAGTAACCTGAACTCCACCTTGACGTTGATGGACATGTTTTTGAAGTTGATTTGGCCAGGTGAAAGATCTCCAATTCAGCTTTTTGTCGTATGTGACGGCGAAGTTGAGGTTTGCCGACGAATACTGCAATTAGATGCGTCCTCCGACGGGCTCTTTTCTTCACTCCCTCATTTCGATCATGGTGGTAAGCAGCAGCCTTACCATATTTGATTCCAGTGGGCAACCTGGACTCTTCCCTTATCCACCGCACTATTCATCCGGGATCTTCACTTGGCAATCGCCTTACTTTATCGCTTCGACTGCACTGCTTACTTTTATTCTGGTAGCTGGTATCGCACGCTTCCTTCTCACCAAAGATTACTTGGATCAACGCAGAGTCTCTGCCAATGGCATCCTACTTGGCGGCCCCGAAACTTTCCGTAGAGCTTCTGCACTTACAAAGTTGCTCATTGTGCTTTCACTTGTGGTGATCGCCACACTTGTAGGCGATACTGTGGTTATTGTAGCACGCGCATTGATCGATGGCCATTGGACTTCCACCGTCTTGGCCTACTACATTTTGATGTCGTTTCTAGCTTGGAACCTACTGCTTGCTACCGCTGCTGATGAAAACAGAAAGTTTCTCACCTGGAGCTGGGTTCAATATACCTTTTGGTTAGCCGCAGCATTAACTGAAACGCTTATTGCTTGGATGTGGGCGATCGGTATTTTTAAACCACGAGATGGTAAGTATTTTTTGCTCAGGCTATAATGTTTTTAATTGTCAACAAAATACTAAAAAGTCATCCATAGGAACGGTTTTTACAAAGTATGACTACGCCATGCTTGGTTTATTCATCATCAGATATATCACTGTGATTACGATTGGTGTACTTGCACTTGTACATATGTTCACTCATAGAGGTACAACCGATGAAACTAGAACTCCATTGTTGGGACAAAGCACAGCTGGTTATGGTGCCACTAATGGAACTACTTCTAACGGCACGACTCCTGCGACTACCACAGAAAAGCCTGTCAGCGGCATGCGTTACTTTTTTGTGAAGATGCGAAAACTGTTACCTTTCATGTGGCCAAAAACAAGCAGGACACTTCAGATATATGTTGGATTATGCTTTTTAATCCTTATCCTTGGTAGAATTGTCAACCTGTTAACTCCACTGCAATTTGGTATCGTGGTAGAAACCCTACAAAATGTCATCGAAGGAGGAGAGAGTAAGAAAAATGAATATTGTAAGCCGAATATTCAAAGCATTTTGCTAACACATCCGTTGTAGGATCCGCTGTTTGGCAAGCTATTCTACTTTACACGGCACTCAAGGTGCTTCAAGGCGGAGTAAGTACCAAGTCATACTTGCTACGTATGAGCTGAACCGTACTAATACAAGATATATTTTCAGACCGGTCTACTTCAATCCATTCAGAGCTATCTATGGTTTCCCATCAACCAGTACACTACCCGCGAAATTTCTCTGGAAATGTTTAGCCACTTGCACAACCTGTCCTTGCAATTCCATATTAACCGCAAGACAGGTGAAGTTCTTCGAGTGATGGACCGTGGAACCAACAGTATTGTCCAACTCCTGTCGCAAATTTTACTCTCCATCTTCCCTACTTTGCTCGATATCGGAATCGCTGTCATATTCTTTGCGCTAACATTCACCTTCTCCTTTGGTCTGATCGTATTTACTACTATGGCAATCTATATTTACGTTACCATTGCTATTACCGAATGGAGAACCAAGTTTAGAAGAGCCATGATCGACGCCGATAATGATGTTCGCACCAAGGCTGTGGACTCTCTTCTCAATTTCGAAACTGTCAAATACTATGGTGCCGAAGGATACGAATTAGAGCGATACAGTAACGCAGTTGCCAAGTACCAGAAGGCTGACTGGAAGACGCTCAGCTCGTTGACAATACTGAACTTGACCCAAAGCGTTGTTATCACTTTGGGTTTGCTTGCCGGAAATCTACTTTGTGCGTACGAGGTTACTCGAGGACGCATGAGTTTGAAAGAATTCATCACCTTCAACACATATATCATGCAGCTATATACACCGGTATGCTTTTATCATATTGTAGCATCCTCTATCCATTCAACTCTTCTAACGTCTGCTTATTGCTATAGCTCAACTTCTTTGGTACCTACTACCGTATGATCCAACAAAACTTTGTCGATATGGAAAAAATGCTTGACTTATTGGAGCAAGAGCAGACAGTCAAAGATTTGCCTAATGCAAAGGAGCTCACGGTCACTGATGGACACGTCGTGTTTGAAAATGTATCCTTCGCCTATGACGAAAGACAAACAGCACTTCGTAACATATCGTTCTCTATTCCAAAGGGAGCCACTGTGGCATTAGTGGGCCCCTCTGGAGGAGGGTAAGTAGTTAGTGTTCTTTCATGCATGCCGAAAATACGAGAGAAATTAACGTTATGTTTTGCAGAAAATCCACCATTCTACGTTTGCTATTCAGATTTTACGACACTCAGAGCGGTCGCATATTGATTGATGGCCAAGATATTTCAACTGTCATGCAGCGATCGCTTCGCAAGAACATTGGTGTTGTACCTCAAGACACTGTGCTATTCAATGATACTATTCTATACAATATTCATTATGGCGATGTCAATGCTAGCGAGGATGATGTGATCAAAGCAGCAAAAGCAGCTCAGATCCATGACCGCATTCTCAGTTTCCCCGATGGTAAGCCACTCTCATTGACATAGGATAGCCAATACACACAACCAGCGTCATTAACAAACAAATGTATTTTTAGGCTATGAAACCAAGGTCGGTGAACGAGGATTGCGTCTCAGTGGAGGAGAAAAGGTAAGCACTTGCTTCGTATGTTCGCATGCCATGACATATTTTTTACCTTGATTAACGGTACCTTTTCGGGATTAGCAACGTGTTGCAATTGCAAGAACTATTTTGAAGAACCCACCTATCATCTTACTCGATGAGGCTACTAGTGCACTTGATACGTAAGTTATAACGATAAGCATAGGAGGGCTTGGAGGTTTATAGCAAGCCACACTCTAAATACGATTAATGTCATTTAGAACGACCGAACGTCAAATCCAGCGTGCATTTGCTGAAATGACTCAAGACCGCACAACGCTGGTCATTGCTCATCGCCTTTCAACCATCGTCAATGCGGACTTGATCCTGGTCATCAAGGATGGCCAAGTTGTAGAGTCCGGAAGCCATGAAGAACTGATAAGTCAAGCGATTGCTACAGGAGAACAAGGTACGAATTTATATATTGGTCAACAAATTCGATCAAGTTGTAACATAGTATTGTGTTTTAGGTGTATACTATGAGATGTGGCAAAAGCAGCTTAAGGATGAAAACACTGAGACTACTGCCAACAACAGTGAAACAAATTCGACAGTCGGCGAACCATCGGAAGCGAAAGTTGACAAAAATGTTGAAGTCATCATTCATAAGCCGGACGAAAATAACGCTGAGGTTGTCCCTGGCAAGACATTTGCACAGGCAGCCGAAGAGGCGACAGAAGAAGCAGCTCCTGTCGTTAATGAAGACCGTAATACACCTGAAGAACCTGAATCTCCCAATACTGTAGATGATACACCAGAAAGCCCAAATGAGGCAGCTGACGAAACGACTGAAGTCGATACTACCGAAGCATCCACTGTTGGGGACGACACAAACGTTGCAGATTCAGCGGCTTCACCTGCCGGTCAGGCTAGCAAAGCTAAAAAAAAGAAGAAGAAGAAGTCAAAGAAGAACTGAGCAACATCCGGGAGGGTCCAACTTGGACATCAAAGCTAAACATATGTAGCAATGTAAAAAGCTTCTGATTTAAACACTGTTATTGTTTTACCACAGATATACAATGTCAACATCGTAAAACGCTTTGGCGTGTTTGATAAATCTACATGTCATTTTATTCACGAGGTTACTTCTGCAATATATACAACTTATGTTCCTCTTGGGAAATATGCTAATGTTTACTATGATCCATATCCCAATGAGTTGTTTTGATCTTCCTTTGTATGATCTGCTGTTTTTACGGACTCCATGGACAGTTTAATTTTTGAGATCAGGACTTCATCTTCAGCCAGTTCAGCTTGCGCTAACGCTAAACCAAAACTGATATGGCTACGTTCTGCTGATGTTTGTGCTTCAATGATAGCAGCCTCTCTGAGACCTTCTATCTGTTCCTTGGTTAAAATGAGTGATGTCGTTATGGAGCTATGGATAAGTAGCGTTGAGGGACCTTTGTGCACATGATGGTCCTTGACGTCGAAGCCCAGAGTGAGATGAAAGTCTTTTGGTGGCAGTCCATACTCACTTCTTATTTGCTGCCCGCCAGCCCAACTAATGCTGCAGTACCAAGATCTTGTGGATGTCGCATTATCTTTCACCATCCCTAACCCAAGATTTATGGGTGGCCGACTGCGGTTTGCTAAGGCTGTCATGCCTTTGAGGGAGGTCCTCTGACGCATTTGTGAAGTAGTTTCCTTCGCTTTGCATATCGTGAGATGAAAAGGATTTCCATCTCTGCGCTTTCGATTCTCAATTGCGTGTTGTGGAACATGTATCAGCGCTTCCTTAGCAGCTCTTTCGATCCAATGACCCATGAGACAGATATAGCCATGTCTATGTAATACATACAGCTCTAAGGGAAGAAGTGAGGCACTATCCTGATTGATATAAACATCTTAAGTAAATATACCTTTATCAATGTAGTCTGATTTGACTGGAGCCGCCTCCTTCGATCCTTGTGCTGTCTTATGTTTACCTTTATGCTTTGGTTTGGTTGACTTGCTGAAATGATCTGTGGCCCCTATTTTGACATCTGCCTCATGTGAAGTGGTTGGAATTGATTGTCGTCTAGAATTCTTTTTTCCTTTGGGCATCCTTTTGGATTACTGTTAGGCTATGATGGTCGCATTAATTTGGTTTTGTGAATCCAATGTTGGCTCATTTGCCATGTGGTGGCAAAAAAAAAATTTCTGCAGTGAGGAGAAACCCAGCTTTCAGCCAGGCTGAAATAGCTATGTAAAATGATGTAGCCACCAAACACATATTTAATCAATGAACCTGGTGTCAGTCTATTGGAACCTGCTTATCAGACTTCTGTGATTTTGGTGTTCCCTGCCTCTTGAGATCGACAATAAATGATAACTCAGACTTGGTCTCTGGGCAATTTGAGAAGCCAAATGAAGATGTTTAAAGTTTGAACTCAAAACCTTCGCTTTGCTCTACAAAATGTGAGCACTTGGTGTTTATTTTGCTTTTACAGGAAGTTACGGAGAGACCAACAACTGTTCAGAGTTGAGCACTTTGCGAATTGAACTTCTCTAAGAGAGTAAGTAGAACATTGTTCACGGCTTTTCAATAGGGGTTTCTGCTTGTAAATATTTTCGACATTTCGCATTCAGGGATTACAGAAATTGTCAGATATATCAAAATAACAAAAACTTCTAAAACTAAAGGAAGTGAATCAGGAAAAATAAAGATAAGTCTGTATAAACTTTTTCTCTTGTTAAGTCTCGACGCTATTTCAAACATCTCCATCATTTGCTCAAACAGAATATCATACAGGTATGTCTATAGCACAGCTGCCTTACACAAGGAAACCCGCTCGATTTTCAACCACCAACAGGCATATCAATATTGCTTTAGCATACAACACACCGCAATCAAGCTGAAAAAAACTTGCGTAAGTGATAAATAGTGAGGGTTGCATGAATGAGTAGAAATGTTATTCTATATACAAAAGTTATGAATGTGATCTATCAATGCGTAGGTAAAGGCGCGGTGACCTTCCGTATCCATTCCATAAAGCAGTAGGAAAATGACAAAGTCAAGTTGGATCTTTTGTCCAGTGGAGTTTTATGAAATCATGAAATCGTATATGAAGGCGAACACCTCCTGCGTTAAGATACGTGAACCAGAATAAATCATTTTTCTGTGTAGTTTATACTGTTTCAAAAGACTTTATTTAATAAAAAAGACTTCATTTAATAAAAAAGAGATAAAAAAAATGGGTTTCGACCATGCCAAAGGTCTCATCAGATGGCTTTAAGGCTGCCATGACCCCTTTGTTGATGACTTTCACTCCCATAACATTGCTACGCAATGCTACAGAAGTGATCTGGGCTCCTAAGTATGCTGGCCAAGCAAACTATCATTGGAGTGCAGACTCTTGATCTAGGAGTCCTTCTCAGTGCTGGCTAAGCAACTTCATTGAAGGATCCTTACGGTATAGATCATGAGAAGCCATTTGACTTGCTCTTGCAAAAAAAAAGAAGAAGTGTAGTAGGTTAGTATGTTAGTGGGTTAGTAGGTTAGTAGATGAATCGTTGAAAAAAAAAA